TTGAGAAAACTGCTGGTGTGTTGAGCACTTGTCATAATGTGGGCGAAATGAAACTGGCAAGAGGCATTCCTTACGAACCACACAAGATCTCTCAAGGAGCTGATCAAAAGGAGCAGTTTGTTCTTGTTCACAAGCCTCCTGAAGTGATCTACGCCCCATCCACTGTCGTTAATCATAACGGAATGAGCATGGAAGGAAAGTTTTCGTCCTACAAGTGGAAGGTTCCTTGCTTTCCAACAAACACCACCCAACGCTGTGTGATACGACTCAGGTGAGAAAACTAATCATCAGGAAGTAGAGGCGATGGAGCGTTGAAAACAAGAAGCAGGACTTTAAATATCAGTAGGTTTCATGATGATAAATTTTCTTCTCTTTACATCAGAAAGGAAAAACGGTCGCATTCAACTCGAGATTCCTTCATGTAACCCATTTTGGCCTTATGATTTTTCAGTACCAATCTTCCCAAATCCTGTTAAAACAAGAGAATTGTAAAAGAAAATAAAAAATAACTGGATATCAACCTTTTTACCAACTCATGATGACGTGTCGAACACCGCATATGTTTGTTAAAATTAATTGATAACGCTTCCTGAGAACGTACCTCATTATGATACCCTCAACTTAACAAGTTTTCATAAAATACTAAAAACCATTTCAAGAACATTATATACACTAGTTTTCAGACATGCTCGTGTCTAACTCAAAACCTAGTTCAGTTATCGAAGCAATTCTGTCAAGCTTAATTGACACTGATTTTTTCCTCGCAGGTACAATATAACCACAAGCGATGTGCCCCGTGGGTTTACTGCTAAGAACAATAACGAGTAGGTACTTGATCCATTTCCCCTTAGAGTGACTAACTTCTCATTTCTCCTTACAATAACACCCCGAATCAAACACTAAGGTCGCAAGAATAAAGTAATGGATAGCCAACTAAAGAAGCTCTAGATTGTTAGACAAATTCTCCTTGTCAGTCAGTGAACTGTGTATTGAACAGTATAGATAATATATACTGATGTTATAGGATGTGTAGGACTCATGACCACTTTACAAAGTCATTCCATTTTACCGTTAGTAGAATCGCCTAAGTTAACAAAAATTAAAGTGAAATGTTTTAGTTTCCTAAATGTTTACCCGATCGTCTATTGTTTGTTCTCTATTATCAACAAAATAAGGCTCAACTTTCTCCTGTTTACAACAATAACACATTGCTATCGTGATCTTGAATACACAAGCGTTCATTTCGTAATTTTTGATCTGATAGCTCTCAGTGAGTTTCATCGACATGAAATCCCTTAAGACGAGTGAAAAACTGACGGGTGGAAAGGAAACATGGTACACTGGGATTTGATTCAAACTGGAAAAGACCTCGGTTAAATTGCACTCAGCCGAATAGATCCGATTGGACATAAAGACCAACGTGAGAAAAGAGCGTTTACAGATCGATTATTCTTTTCTTCTCAGGGTTAAAAATAATCCGAAAACAAAAGCTGTTGACAATAAGACCGATCTTCAAATCGCTTTGAACACTGCTCAGCTTGGTAGAACATTCCAGGATAGAAGTCATGTGATCATTCTTAAACCACGCAGCAAACTGCCCATGAAATTTCAGCATAGCAATATCTATTATATTAATGGAATGGGCAAGAGAGGAAACATAGTGCAGGCGTATCCTGCCATGGAATATCGCTTTTATCCCGAACGCCTCACTGTTACAACAGAGGATGTGGTGTGTTTCGTCTGGTCCGGTGAGAAGGAACAATCTATTTGATACGAACTCTTGTGACCTGTTCATAAATTCATTCTTATTTCCATTTCCCATTTCGTTTTTTCATTGTGTCCAATTGTTTACCTATTTATTGCTTCTATCGGTAGGCTCAAACAACAATCAGAACAATGCTGGAGAAGGAACAGCACGTAAGAAAAACACGATATTGCATATTTAATTCTGGATTCATCTGACTTAAAAAGCTCAAGCCTGAATATTTTCGATGACTAATCAATATATTACCACGATGAGCAAATAACAGCCGACCGAGTAAACTAAATCTGATTAGTAAAACCTTGAATCAATTCCTTTCTCATTTCAGGTACTGATCGCACCAACGTGTGCTGGATAAAGGAAGGATGCCAATCTCTCAAACCGGCAGCGTGTTCCAGCCTTCCTCTTGAAGTAGTTGACCATGTCGACGAATTTGATGCCGCCAAGTTAAATCTTCACCTTAACAAGGGCTGTTACACTGGTGACAAAGCACTGCAGGCTCAACTGAACAACGCCCCGGCCTCTTGCAACCCGCCATGCTTCCGCATCACAAAGCCTGGGAAGTACTGTTACATGGGCACGCGCAATAACAACTTCTCCAACCGGCGTCACATAGGACAGATCACTGTCACTGGGAAAACTCCGGCTAAATGATTGAACTGTGTTATTTATGTGCTAAATCCGCTCATTTCTTGATTTTGTTTAGGTAGATTACGCTGTAACACGCACTGGGATGTTGGAAGAATAAAACAAGGGAATTGATTTCTGCTTTTTTGCATATGTCTATCAACCTACTTAACTCTGATTACTTACTTTGCATTAACAATGAATCTTTCAGAAGAATATTTGTTTTAAAAAACAAAGCAAAACAAAATGACATAATGATTGTGTCAGCCCTAATTTTCATTATTGTACATATCAAATAGAATGGCGATGCTTGAAACAAAACCTTCTACCAAGGAAAAAAAGTTTTCCCTGATTCCGTGTTCAAATGTATATATATTTTTTCTTCATTATAAAAGTGCGACGGTTGTTATCAGCATCATTTAAAAAACTGACCAATCCGTATACAGAAAACGAGCGATTAGATCAAATTCAATCAAGGCTGTTTTTTTCAATCAGGTTTTTCGTCGGTAGAAAGGGTTACCCCGGTCGATCTCGAAACGAATCACATATTAATGCAGAACTGCAACGCGGATTCGCGTAAAGTGAATCAATATTTTTAGGATTGTTGCGGTGATCCAAATTGAGCTACAAATCAACCTGGGCTCGTGCAAAGAGGCCCTTAGTTGCACAGCTTCAAACTGAGTGATGTTTATGCTAGTGGAATTGTTAGCAATTTCTAGTTATTCTTTAACACTTGTCAACATTTGGTAGAATTAACTCATGCGGGAATTGCTACAAGTAAGAAAAACTTTTCTTGTAGCACAAGCAAGCTCTGCTGTAATGTAAGAATCGTCAAGTCTGTGACGACATTGGCCGGAACGTAAGGAATAACTGATGAGAGTGAGAGATAGAGGCAGTACTTTTTATTTTATTTTCCCTAGCTTTCTTCATGCTTGAATCAAGTAATTACACAGATTGCCCAAACTCCATAAGAACCGTTCTAAAGTTCAATTTTCGAGCATCGTTTGGATTTGCGTTTATAAGAGATAGTGTGATGATAACCAAAACATGCCATAAAATGATGGCTTTTGCATTAAACAACTTGAAACAAGAATAATCCACCTCAAATTTGTGTTTCGCCTCTTGGCCATCTTGGAGCTGTTCAGGCGAATATCTTGATTTCGAAATGAACCTTCACGAATGAAGGTAAGCTTAGTTGTTTAGCACTTGTTACTCATACTCTTTTAATTGTACTTGGAGTAGTGAGAATCGAGTCAGCGAGGGTTTCTTCTTTTCTTAGGTGTTTTCCTCCGCATTGTGTAGCTATTTTCTTGTAACCGGTCTTCCGCGTTCATTTTTTCAGACCACGTGTGGTAAAGATGTCACGTGCTTCATACGGCCGTCTGCTTTTGACGGGTTCTCTTTATCCCTACCAGAAAACAATACGATAAATAATTCAGCGATAAGGTGTGACAACAGATGACTTCAAAGCAGGTAACGTATTTTGGCTGTTCTTGGACAATAAGCCGTCTTGAGAAACATGATTTGGGAAGGCGAGTGACGCAAGCCGAAATGACCACGACAGATAAATAATTCTCCGTGGTTCGAATGATTTTAACTGGCTTCGCTGATAATCGAAAGCGATGAAAGCTCTCTGGATTTGTTGATATTTAAAAGGTAAGATAACATTCGATCTAGTCAGACCTTCCAGCAATATATAACTTATTGGCGACCAAACTACTGCTGGATAACTGATCGAATAATGTTTCTTAAAAAATACTGTTCGAGAAAATATACGATTTTAAATCATTGCAGATGTCGAAAGCTACGAGATGGGAAGATTACTTTAAAATTTATATAAATAATCATAGTGAGATCAGGATCGCTTGAGATTTATTTTTAGAAAACTGACTCATTGGATTTAGAGATATATTTACGAATTTGATGATGCGTTCGCATGGTCACGGCGATCACATTTCTTGATAAAAAAAATCTCAAAAGCTTATCTATGAAACGTGTTTATGGCCATATGCTGGAAGTTGAATTAAATTTTAGGGGTAGAACAGAGGTATCGAGTAAGTTTATCCTCAGGCCAATTATATTCAACCAGGAACAGCAAAAACACGAGGGAATCGTATTCCAAGAAGCTCTTTTTACTCTGACTTCTTTGAAGCTTGTTAAAACACCTTGCTAATTATAAATAAATCGCTGAAAGCCTCGAACAAAACCGAATTGCAAGAATTACACAGTCAACTCGTGTTGTGTTATTGCAAATTATGCATGTATTTCTTTAAGTTCCAACCAGCCGCCACGAGGTTTCCTAGAAGCAAAGGAAACAATGGAAATAATAACACTTAGAGTGTCTATCTACAGTAAATACTGAGAATACTGAGAACAGCCTGAGTACAGCTCAGTACGGTAAATAATCAACTATGAGCGGATTTGTCCTCCAAAACAGAATGTTCCTCGTTATTTCTGATGGAATATTTGAGGCTCGCTGCCGCCTCTTAAAAGCTTTGTTCTCGAAATCAAGTCACACCTCCCATTCTTTCCTTCGCAGTTCAAAATATAATTATTTGTTTAATTAAAATTGTGATCTACGTGAACGAAGAATTCACAAGAATTTGCCTCGCTCCCAATATGAGGCTCATTGCTAGGTTGGTAATGGCGCCCAACTAGTATCTAAGAGGCCTGAAATTTTCAGGCTTCTTTCCTGCAATTGCTTGAATTGCAGCTCACTTGCGATGCTCATTGGAAAGATTTTCTTACAAACAAAGCCGTAATCCCTGAGGCAATTCATTGTTTTCACTTTTGTTTTCTGTATTCAAGAACTGTCGGCATATAATGAGTATGGGACCGTTCGGAAATCTTTTTCATACACCTCATGCACAATATTCATCAGCCAGATAATGTTCTGCGGTTAAGGATTTTTTAAGCTAGAAGATCCAAGAAAATACGCAGGTGAGCACTATTCTTGATTAGGCATCTTTTTTTTTTGCGCCAGTCAGAGAGTAAAGACATCAAGCTAAGAAGAGTGAAGCAAAGTGAAGTGTAAGTGTCCTTGACAATCCATTGTTATTACTAAAATTTAAGTGTGTAAGCGATTGCAATCGGTTGTCAATTTCGTGCGAAGACGTCACAGATCAAAGCCTTAATCGAGCAGTCAACTTAGTGCAACACAAATAGATAACGGAGCTGAGTACACCTTTTTTGTACAAACGTCTCATTTTTGGGCTGAGGCTGGACGTTCTCATTTATTTATTTATTATTTCTTTTTTTTGCAATTTTAGCAAGAAGTATAAGTTGTACGGTAATAAATGCATTCGGACGTGATCAGAATAAGTTCGACAACAAGCTGAGTTGTTCTTCAGTGTATCGTGCAATAACCGCATTGTTTACGTCCCCAAGGATCTGAGTTAACTGTCCTGTTGGACCAGAGTTTTACATTCCTTTTACCTTTATTTACACTTCTCACCAAAAATCAGCCGTTCTTAACTGACTCACGGCCCGGGTGTGTTCTTAGGTTGTTCTCAAAATTTTGCTTAATCTCTGCCTGGAAGTTCCGTTATAAAATAGGTCCTCATTAAAAAAAGAGTGTACAGATACTCACAACTAAATCGGCATCGTTCTACAAACAATGAGAGCAAAGCTCTGTTAGAACGTCTAAGAAATAAGCCGATTTTATCGTATGCTCCTCATCTAATAATTTTATGTTATGAGAACAAATCTTGCGGTCAATTCAGTGTCTCGAGAAAAGCGATTGCCTACACATTCATGAAAGTATTAAGCGTTGTGTGACTCCTAACGCAACCTCCCAGATAACGCGTATTAGGTCTTGGCGCATGGAGGATTACAGTGCTACAGTAGACCACGTACAGGGAATGAAATATCGTTGATTTACATTTTAAACATGAGATGAATAAAACTCGCTCACCTTTTGTGTTTCCTTGATCCTTTTGGCGTCCCCAGGGAAGTGTTCTTTCCTACAGTTCAGCGTTACTTTTATTATTCGGGTTAGCCAACCCTTAATTTACATATTGATATGCGGCTTCGAAGATTGTGACTGCCTACCGATGGAGGTACTTTTGTATTGTTTTGCCTTTTCAAGTTTTGTCTCCTATCCCACCAAATTGTAAACATACGAGACTTCTCATCAAACCTTTGAAATGGCTGCAAAGGGCAAGTTTAGGACTTTAAAAAAAACTTTGTTACCTGATCTGAGGATTTGATCTTCGACGAACAGGCTTGTAATTAGAGGTTAGATCAATATTCTTTGAGACGAAATCCGTAGAAAGTATTTCCACAGCTAGTGTTGTTATGTGACTCTATTCGATTAAGGAAAAAAAATTAGAAAACATACTAACGGTGTTTGGGGACTATATTAGTAGACTCCATAGTCGATCAGGACCTACTTAAAGAGTACGAAATATTAGCGGGAAAAAACCCCCAGCTTTTCCAGATTTTTATTTCAGTTTTAGTGCCAGAATAATTATGTAACAATTTTTTTCAATTTGTCGTTTAATGACTGTAGACAGCTGTTTTGTTTATGCCTGTCATACACAACATATTTTGTCTCAGCCACTGCAGGATATCGCGTCCACGTACAATTTTGCTCGTCTCCCTCTGAGTGAAAACAAACTACTTTCAACTTTTGCAGGATGACATTTGAAAGCCATTGAAGTAATTGAGCTACTAGGTAGTTCAGAGCTTTGGTAATCGACGTGAAAGCAGATAATATGGAATCGAAAAAAGAATGGAGTCGACCTGACCAACAGATCATTGCCTTCTACGTCGCTCAAGAGGCCGCTGTTGAGAAAAGAAATGAGGTAGGTCAAGCTTTGGAAATTAAATTTATGAGAAGTTTTGCTGTTAAATTTTCCTCTGGTTTATTCTGGAACTTTTAAATACGCTCGCTCACGATGTAAAACTTGTTCTTTCATTCATAACGTAGAGAAAATATCGGGACCCAAGAGATCCATTAAGGTCACTGATCACTTTACGTGTACCTCCACCAATGTTATTTACTGCATAACTTGCACTTATTGAAATAAGTTATACATCGACGAAACAGGAAGACGACTAGGTGACCGATTCCGAGAAAAACTTCGCGACGTGGAAAGAAATGACAGGGACGCATCCAAACCAGTCGCGAGACACTTTAATCTCCCTAATCATTCTAAACAGCATATGGCAGTCTGCGGCCTTTCCTTACATCTAGGCAGTTCGGAAAGCCGCAAAACACTAAAACAAAAATATATCTTCCAAATCGGCACCGTTAATCCCCACGGAATCAACGAGCGCTTTTCATTCAACTAATTTATTCATGTTTTCTCGTCACCATATTCCCACCGATGGCGTAGCTCCACTTTCTGCATATAAACCCACACACAACCCACAATTTCTCCAATCGCTCTGACGAAGGGCTAACGCTCGAAATGTCAGCTTTTTTACCCTTTACGGTGGCTAATTTACGTATTCAACTCAGTTGTTAACACTAAATTACTAGTTTTATTAGTGGTTAAGGGAGGGCTCTTCCCTGGAAGCCGAGGTTTGACTGCACATGAGCTTGGATCGGAATTTTCGTGTTTGCCTTCTGTGCTATTAATTGGCAAGACTCTTTACTCACACAATGCTCAGGAATAAAACCGGTTCTGACAGACTATCGGGGAAACCTGACGCATTGATATGGGTTAACCCTGGAATGGACTCACCCGCCAAGGGGGAAGGAGCAATATTCCTGGTCGCTTCGCGCTACAGACAATTGAATCAGCTGGGTAAAGAGGGGCCACCCAGCTCGTTAGCTGATTGTAACTAGTTATAGCCATAGAATGCATCATTCGGCAGGAAGTGCTGTCGAGTCTGTAGCACCTAAAAATTGTTGCACAGCTGTTTCGGCTACTAATAGAACTCAGTGGTATGTCATGCTCTAGTATCGAGGTAGCGCATGGGTTGACAATTAAAAAGATAAAGAGTGATAGGTAATCTCTGTAAACTACTGATACCATCTTTACGTGTGGTCACTAGTGTCGATAAAGCACGGTCAAAATTATTAAATTTTCGCCCGGCGACGGCGTAGAGTTTTAAAAAACACTGGTTGAACTGCTGAAGAATAGAAGGTAACAAGGTTTTTTCCATAACAAAATTACGAGAAAAATGTGGAGGGACCAAGATACCCAAATTGGATGCTTAGACCACTTAATAATTCACGGCACGATACAGCCTTGTTGAATTGCACATATGAACACAAGTCCTGCGACACAACCATTTTCATGGCTTGATGTAGCAACAACAGAATCAAACAGGGGAAGGTCCAAATGCCAAATGAGAGATTTTGTGTTTGGGGAGGGGAGGGGGCTTAATGCACGAGCTTTGTAGAGACGAGAGGGACGATTGCGTGTCCCTAGTATTTTCATACTAAGCGTCATGGTACACAAACTTACAGTGACCCTTAAAATTTGAAGTCTTTTTGTTTTTCATTTATCCATTCACTTATTTTTCCTTTTTCGTTTTTTTTTTTTTTTCAGGAAAATAATGTTGTGCCTCTTATAAAGTTCTTTTCATTTCTTTGTGTACTGCTTGGTTTCACTCTTCTTGTTCTTCGCATGGAATATCAGCCTTCTTTTACAAAGAACTGGTTCAACGAACCTTTAGATCAACCACTTGATATGGAACCTTTTGACTGGGGTATAGAAACAACAAAATCCACGGACGATACACGTGAAGGTGGCTCTGGTAAGTGACTTAGCTTATTCACCATGAATTTTAGCAGCTATAGTCTTTATTCGCATTTCCTGTTTTATTCAAGCCTCTTTGTCTTCGCTAACTCTTATTCAAAATTCTTTTGTTCTTCGATCGATCTTACCCATTTAATTTGGTCGTTTGAATCATCGTCCGGTTCTCTTGAACATAAGGTAATCTCTCAAATCGAAACTCTTATTCCCCACGGTATCAATTCATTTGTTCTTGTGTCTTTTATGTTCCCATTTCTCAACCAGTAGCGTAGCTTCATCTTTTTGTGTATAAAAACCTCACACAATCCACAATCCCTCTATTCACTCTGATGAAGGGATAACACTGAAAACGTAAACTTTAAAACTCTTAACTTGGGTCAATTACACTATGAACGCAGTTGATGAAACCAAATCATCGTTTGCGGGCGAGCCGTGCATGAAACTTATAGTTTCAAGCCGAGATAGTGCCGCAATTCTCTGACTGGATTAGATATTGTACCACATGCAAAATTCATTGAAAATCTTTCTGATTGGCCGAAGGTGTACGGTGAATTTTCGAAAATAACGCCTGGGACGTCGTCTAGCGGCAGATTACACAATAATCATGTCATGTATGACCGCGGCGCATGATTTTTAAGGGTAATCATGTCAAGTTCGCGCGCTTTGTGATGCTCGCTGATTTTTATCTTTTTACACGTTTAGAAATAAATTACCAGTTCCCCTCACTGTCGTGACCATTTTTTTTTCGTTCAATGTATAATAAAACAATTATTATATTCGGTTTTTGTGATATCCAGAATAATCAAGGTCTCGGTTAGGGTTATATCCCCCTACCTCGACCTTGATTGTTCTTAATATCGCAAAAACCTCATCCAATAATTGTTTATAAAGCCATAATAAGCTCAAACCTCAAAGCTGTGTCTCGCAGGCAATCATAGTCGTGTGATGATGAATAGGGTATTTTTTTGGTGGTAAATTGGCTACTGTGGGAGCAAGTAGCATTGGAAAGTCGCTAAGCAACCAGTCATTTTATATCACCCGGGGGAGGTCGGAAGATTTTTGCGGTGATCACATGGTTACCAAGGTTGAACGGAGAGGTGATCAGTCATTGGCAACAGCCTGAGAGAAAAAAAGTGGGGAAATTGACTGCCAATGTGGGGGATCTTGGGAGTAGTATAAATAGAAGTCTATTAGCTCTCTACTAAAATGTAAAGAAATAATCTTGTGACTCTCAGAAGCGTCAGACGTCCTCCCCTTGGCTGTTTGGGGTTTGTGGGGTCCGTGGAGTGAATGCAGCAAGAAGAAATATTGCCAAGAAGGTCAACAACATCGCCATAGAGTATGTTTGTCTTTGGAAGAATCGGCTCAGTGTATGGGTGTCTCCATGGAAGCCAGAGATTGCCCTACTGCTGCCTGTGTACATGCATGTAAGTTCGGATGATCTTCTTTATTAAGATGAGGGCCTGAGACTATCTTTGTTAGTGATGAACTTGCCGTAGTAAGTGCAATTATTGTTTTATACATTTTGCTTGCAGATAGTTCCCCTCCCATTTTAGTGGACAAGTCACCAGCATCAGCAACATCATTTCTTGCTCAGGAATGCAACGCTACAGTTAAATATGCGGCTAGTGGTAGATTTGGAGACCTTGTACCAAGCGCTGTTTATAGTTTATATCCTTCTGCTAAAAAGATGTTTAAAAGCGGATTTTTTGCCTTGGAGAGGATTCCTAAAGTTCTCAAGCACGAGTCTGATATAACTAAGGTACAAAATGACGTAAGATAGTCAGTTGGTCAGTTAGTCGGTCTGTACGTCAGTCAGTCGGTCAGTCATTAGTCAGCCGTCGGCTAATCATTTAGTCAGCCAGTTAACCATTCAGTAAATCAGCCAACTGGTAAGTCAGCCAGAGGGTTACTTAGTTGGCCTTCCAGTCAATCAGTTGGACACTTGGTCTGCTGGTCAGGCGGCCAGTCAGTTAATCGGCGAGTTAGCCATTGAGTCAGTCAGACGGTTTCTCAGACAGTCAGCCAGTCACCTAGTCAGTCAGCTAGATAGTCTCCTAGCCAGTCACTCTGTTAGCCGATTGGTCCGTCGGTTTTTTCAGTCAGTTACTTAGTTAGCAAGGCGAAAAGTCGAAAGTCCGCTGTTCAGCCTCTCGCATAGCTGGTCAGTTAGTTAGTCGGTCAGTCACTCCGTATGTCTGTCTGGTGTTTACTGAGTCAGTCACTGATTCAATTAGTCAGTATCTCAATCAGTTATATATCGTTAATCAGCCTGTTAAGTCTGGCGGTAACTGACCAGCCCTTTATGAAATTCTCCCAATCTCCATGCAGGTGTGTTTTGAACCTTTTGGAGTGTGGTCTTTGACAGTAGCTCGAAAAGTGTTCCACTTAAACAGATCCACGAGAGCCTCTCTGAACGAAGTAAAATCAAATCGCGTGATTGGGTTGGCCATAGCTCTTCGACCTGATGGGACGTTATACGGGGTACTGTTAGCCACAGGAACCTCAGGAGGGGTCTATGGCAACGTTTATTACAGGCGTTTTCGAGGAGTGAGTTTCCACGATGATATATCATTTTAAGATGTTGACGACATTGGGTGTTCTTAGAATTATTTGTTTTTTAAAACCGTTCCAAGGAAACTGAAAGCGCCCCAGAAGACTGATTTCTTCGCGCACGATGTTAGTAATGCTGGAAATCATTTTTGTAACAGTTTTGGAATGTTTTTAAAATGTTTTTCATCAGATCATGAAATGATTTTTAGACTTGTACACACATTAGAAGGTCTGGGCCGCTACTTAAGCCTGTTTACCAGCAAGGATCGGTAAAAGAGAGGTTGCTACACCGTGCTCGATAATCAAAGGCCAAGCGCTTAAGAGTTTTGTGGATAAACTCAATGGTCATGCAGTTATGGAATTTTTTTAAGTGAAAATGATTACAGCAACAACAAGCTGCTCACAGAAACACATGTTTTGTATTGCAATGAAGTCAATAACTAACAGGAAACGATGAACAAAAGGTGGCATCAATATTTATTGAGGAATTAGCCCGAGCAACTTAATTTTTTTAAGAGCGTATAGCAATACTTAGGAGTTATTTGAATAACTAGTGTATTTATTTAATAAACATTCCTACTTCTTGTACTTTAGCAGATATTGAATTCCTCGCTAGCTTTTCAAGTTCACGAGCTGTCTTAGCTACCAAGCTAGTCCAAGCTAGCTTACAAATATATTAATGTTTCTGGTTACCAGGGTTACACTACATGTTCTTCTTCCATTGATTCCTCCAAGCGCCTCTTGGGAATGATTAAGATAACTTCTCTGTTATAGCCCAAAACCTTACGCAACATCTTGAAACCAAATACAATGAAGATGATAGAGGATGCAAACAATACCATGGAGAAAAACAGCAACAATGTAAGAAGGAGAGCAATAACTCCGGAAGAATTGTCTTGGCTTTCATCTGAGCTATTTATATGATCGGCAAAATACTTGCTGTTCATTTTGAATATGTAGTAGAGAAACGGAATCTCGAGAATGAATAACAAGAAGTTTACAAACCCCAGCATAAGGACGCCCTTTTCGTTGCTGTTAAGCATTTCGAAGACTTGGATGAACTGCCACTGTAAAATTACAAAGTTGTTGTTAATTGTATCAAATATCATCTTTTACATGATTTGCAGGGATCTACATTCGACGTGCGATTTTGATGACCAGGTACAAGCATCTTGCAAAAGAGTTATATAACATTCTCAACCCTTTAAACTCATAGCGTGACCAGCATCTAATTTCTCCTTAAAGTAATACTGCTGAATCATTTCTTAGGATCATAAGAATAAAGGAGATGGTCACCCATTTAAGAAGCTTTGATTTTTAAATGAATATATCCTTATCAGAATTATAGCACACGAATAACGAATTGAGGTGCGTATGGCGAATATAGATACTGATGTTAGGGTGTAAAAGGTTAGGTTAAACGTTTTTAGATATTTTCGACCACAAATTTTCGTTGTATGATGTAATATCAAGCTCTTTTGGCAACATGTAAGTCTATGTTTTGGACATTATTTTATTTAACTCTTTTGACTTAACATTTGTTCCTGGTTCAACTTCATCAGGTTATCTCTCTTACTTCTCGGGTTTTAAATATTTTTGATCCATGCTCATCTTGAGAGGTCGATTACTATTTTTTATGAGGAATCGGCCTACGCCTTATCAGTATAATGCTAGCTGCGTACGATCTTAACAATGAATGTGCAACACAGACTGAAACCCCTGCCTACCTCACGAAATGGCTTGTATCTCCACCTCGTCTCAAATTTAAAATGACACAATTCACAGGTGTCTTGCTTGCGCACGCGCAACCATGTCTCTATGCAATGTTTGTGTACGAAACCAAGAGTGCCCCTGCAATGACAGGGACTATCAAGGAGCTCCCCCAATTCCTGAACAGACCGCCTGGATGACTGACAGATCCGACAGCTCGGTGAAGAGCGACCCACTCCACTTAAGCTGAGGCGTTCAGTCGATAAAGGCTGTGTGAAAATAATTAAATTAGCTATTTGTTGTTTAATTAAAACCAAAAACAAAGTTATCACAACGGTTGATCAGAAGAAAGGGAAATACCTTAAAAAGTCAAAGATCAAAGTGAAACCAACCAAACTGTCCAAACTTAGCGCGGGTTTGTTTTAGTTTTGCATTTGATTGGTTGAGAGACTGGCGCGAGTTTTCTCGACTGTTCACTGGGCGAAGTGAAGCAAAAGCAATGCAATCTCGGATTACTTTCGACACTAAATTGAAAATCGCTCGAACTGTTGTTTAGTTACAAACAGCACAGTAAGTCATATGTTTGTTGGTATGAAACAGAAACATGTCCAGAGTTCTACTGTTGGGCTTTTTTTTGTTTTCGGGATAGAATCGTAATTGTTGGACTTATGATTTGTAAAACAACAGTGGTGTAGACAACTACCAAGTCGAGTTGTAACGTTTTTGTTCTATTCTTTTCTGTTTTTGTCATGAAACTTGGATTAACGCCGCATAAATCTGATTGGAGGGTGGTGTCTATTCGAGAATAACGAATTGGATTGGGAAAGGAAATTACGGAGTTAAAGAAATGCAAGAATCATCGGTTACTCCTTGTTCTAATCAGTGTACCTTTTTTACCCCGTGCACGACTGTAAGTAAATGTTATTCACTGCAGTCATTACTAATCAGCAGCAATAGCAGCAGCATAGACGAAGCAACGACAACAACAGCCTATCATTTTAAAGGAAATTCAGCTTCACCGTCCCATAATTACCTATATGAACTGGGACTTTTAAATCAGTTGAGAAATTGAATCAATTCCATTTTAAAATTATCTCCTTATGTCAATGTTGTGAGCCATTCAATTTTTTTAGTTTTCAGGTCAACTTACCGTGGAGTGTTCTTTGTCATTATCGTCTTTCATATCTTCAGCTTGATTGTCTTTCATATCATTACTTAAAATCTTCAGCAAAAATGGTAAATATAATTTTCTCTGATGTTGCGGGGCTAAAAACCGTTACAATGTGACATCTATTCGACATCATCCACGACACTATCATACCGCTCGCGTGACATAACGCTTCACGCTATGATCGTTTTCATGAAACTTGGAAAAAGTCGCACTCTACAGATGATAGAGCATTCAAAGTCAGCCAGAACCACCTTGATGTAATGGTATACGTTTTTAAGAAATCTGGTGATGTGCGCAAAATTTTTTGGAGCCGTTGACTCTCAGGTTTTTCTCGTTCTTGCAAACCTCCATTATACTTGCGATAACCGAGTTTTCTACCCGCGCGCGCCAATAAATTAATACATCATCGTTCACCTACACGCAGAAGAACAAACTCGCGTAGACTGACTAGTTATTCTTCCAAAAAATTTTTGCAGAAACTGCTTATCTTTTATGAGAAAAATAGTGGCCTCCTATCCAATGGCCACCTCCATTCAGGAGACAAACTTTGATCCGGGAAGATTATTTACGCAGCCTTTGTATTTATTTACCTCTGTTTAGGGAAAAGCTCCATATCATCCAAAAGGAGGAATAGACACTTATTCTAGGCCCTCTTCAAACCTCCGCTCTAGGGACATCTGAACCCCTTAAAACGTGAGGTGTACCTACTGCACTCGATTCTGCTACTACCTGTGGCACTTAAATCGTTGTACTATACTTGTGCGAATTAAACAAACAAGATCGCAGAAATTTATGTGAATTATAGTTTTCATACATCATTCAGCTGTTTGAATTAATATTTCCAGCAGATTGAAAGACAGAAAAATAAAACAATGTCATATCCATTGTTAGTTAAGTAAGTATTAAAATCAATCCAACCACACTAATGGAACCCGATTGGATGCGCCACTGTATGTTTCTGATCTTCTTCAAAACGAATAACTCTGCTCGGTAGGTTCTTTGTCGATTGAGTTCCCAATTGGAGAGTAAACATATCATACTCAATATGTGTACTTAACAAGCTCAGAGTTACCTATTATAAATTTATTATACTTTACGTGAAACCCCATCGCAAATTAGGTCCGCAATGCGCGCTAAGGCTGAAGCTTCTTTTCGAGCCCGCAATCTCAACACATTGTTCTGACGTGTCCATTTTCAAGATGGCGGACCGACAAGGTTCTGATTCATCGCAAAAACATACGCCTTTGCACGGGATATCTCTCGCCAACCTTGGTGGGAATTTGAACTTTGGACCTACTCTTGTGCCAGCTTCCGATTCTTCCCCAATTTTATTGAGAAATCAAACAACTGCAACACCGACCACCAGTAGAGGTAATGTGTTTCGGTATAAGGGTTTTAAACTTTAAGATTCAATTTTTCGTTGATTCAGATCTAAGATCATCGACCTTGCTTTGAAAACAAAATTGATCAGATTGATGTGTGCAATTAGAGATAATTCTCATGCTCCACGTATGTAATGGCTTGGAATATATTTTCGTACTCATGCAAACGGATGGGAGATTTTCAGCTTTTATTATTCTGTAATATGTTGTTGTTTCATATGGGAACGATTACTGATAGCGTCGCACTTATTTATGACGTTTTGATTTAGAAAAGCCTCATGAAACTAATTTAAAATCATGATTATGGTCTTTTTTTGGATGCTGTAACCCTACATCAATTATTTCACAGAGGATTGGTGCCTCTTCTTTTCTTTTGTGGCAGTAGAAGGGGTACATTTACTTCCTCAGTTGCCCTGAGTGGGGACATTACTGAAGAGAGTATTAGTTCCAGGGTCTGTAGTCTTAGACTGAGTAAGAAATTTTGCCATTTATTTCTGTCACCTGCTAAATGATAATGACTATAGAGTTGATGCATATTTTGCAACTTCTCTGGGTCATGGTGGTCAGTTAATTTCAATTTCAACCTTTTGTTGTGGTTCTTGTTTTAAGAACAGGAGGTGTAGATTATAAGACACACACTGTTTTATTCAGAAGCAAGAAGAACATTAAACTAAAACACATCACATGTGAATAATGACCAATGCCTATATTTTATATGTGGTGGCCTAGGTACTAATATGATGACCACTGGCTGGAAATGGAGTCTAGCCAATATCATGACACCTTTTTCAAAAATTATTTTCCCCAGCTGTAAGAAACTTAGATGCAAAAAAGGATATGTTTCCTTATTAATGTTTTGTTAAGTGTGTCAGTAGCTGGCTCACAACACCTGGTTTGCCATCAAGTTGCATTAGCTGCTCTTAATTTTGGACCCTATTGTGTCTTGTGGCAGATACTTTGAGGAAATGAGATGGTTTCATTAAATACAGTATGAGGGTTTTTTATTTCAGTGGCAGCACTCTACTTAAGTCTTTGCCCAAAGTCTTTCTTTGAAATACTAGCTCTCACTGCACCATCTATTATGAGAAGAGCAACCAGAGCCAAGAAAAATAAATGAAGAATTATTATTTGACTCCTGGTATCCTAGGCCTATTATTAGTACATATATGCCTAATTGTGATAAACTTGCAGTAGAAAGCTAGTATTTTTCTTATGCATAATATTGGTAAATCCAATCACTTCAAAACTAGGATAATTTTTTGGTATGGCCAGGCAATTCTTGAAACATACAGAATACTCTTATGAGGTGTGCACAAAGATTTCTTTGGAAATTTGCTAAATACTTCTGACCCTTAGGTTGAGTCAAGTGTGGTAAATACAGGGATCTTCCAGTGTGATTTGGTTGGATATTTCATTAATTAGAACGCCAAAAGAGGTTTTTAGAAATGTTTGACATTTCTAAACAAGAGTTTGATATTCTGGAAAAGTTCTATGGACCATTTTGGTTGAAATTTAGAAACATAGCCACAGCATATTTTTATATGCTAATTAATTGTATTTAGCTTTTTTCTTTTCTTCTGTTTTTTTCTTCACTTTTTTATTTCTATGATAGGGTTATTGCAATTAGATTTATGTGTAGAATGATGTTATCCATTCATTTGTAGTGTCCTTTCTTTTGCCTTTCACCTGTAGCTACACCAGCCCTGGAGCATGTTGGTGAAGAGGACAGTTTTCTTGGACAGCAGCCATCAACACAACAGCAGGCTCCAACACCTTTTCAGTCTGCAGCATCACAAGTAAAGACCCAAACATCACCATTCTTTACTATGGCATCTTCTTCCTCATCTGGTCATGATGACTTCCTATCACCACAAACATCTACTCAAGGTGCAGCTGGTACTTTTTCCAGTCCTCAACTTCCTGTCAGCAAATCTCCATACCAGGCTTCACCAGCCAAGGGACCTGGGTCTCAGACTCCTCCAAAAGCAGTATCTACTCTTCCTCAGTCTTCACCTCCAGTGACAGCCAGTTGGGTCCAGTCTCCATCTCTACCACCAGCCAATAATTTGCCTCAAACTCCCCCTGTTCCTTTTAGCAGTCTACCCCAATCCCAATCATCTACTGCTTGGCCCCAGACTCCACCAACTCCACCAAGTCTGTACCAGTCCTCTTCCTCATCTTCTGTGCCTCACCCCTCACCTCAACTTCCATATCAATATAGCAGCTCTGTGTCTCCTCCTCAAGTACAAGGCGGAATTACCCCTGTTACACCACCTGCAACAGTTGAACCTGTCAAACCTCATTGGTTTTATCAGAAAGGAAATTCTTCTTGGAAACCTTTCTCATACATAGATTCTGAAAACTTAGAGCAGGCATTGAAAACTTCTTCAGCTGGTGGTGACCGGATTGTAGCTACTGATGGTGGTCGATATGATGTGAACCTTGACAAAAGGCTGCGATACCCTCTCTACTGGGAGGAGGACGTGTCTGTTGTAAGAAGGTGCACTTGGTTCCACAAAGGAGATGGAGAGTCCAAACTTGTGCCTTATAAAGAGGATATGGCAGCTAGGCTTGAGGTATTGTGTTTGTCCAAATATATATAAGTAGCATATAGATGCTTCATCTCACTTTAATGTAAGGCAGGTCTATCAATTTGTTCTCATATAAGTTAGGTATTATTGCCAAACTTATTTTGAACTCAACCCAAGTAAGCTTAAAGATTGTTACATGGCATTTAAAGGGCTCTTTGTCACCCCACTTTCTAATCATCACTTCTTGAAATCTTTGTAGATACAGCAATTGTGAATACTCTTGAAAAACTATGAGTGCCCTCATGGGGCATAAGACATTTTCTGTTTGAAAACATCAAAGAACAGGAAATATGGTTTTTAATTTTCTCTTCAGGATACTTTTTTCATCTAATCTAGCATTCAAAAGTAAGGTGCTTATACATGCAAAATATCTCTAGAGACCTAGTCCAGAGTGCACCTTTAATTTTGTTACTTTTTTTCAGGCTGAGTTTCTCCTGGGATTTCGTGAGGCCAAATGGCCATGTAGAGTGGAATTATCAGATGGAGAGCATGTTGTGATGCATAATGCAAATGTTATGGTACATTTTGTACCAAACAATGAGTCCCAGAACTGGAGTGGTGAGGACACTGTAGCCAGGCCTAAAGTGGTCAGACGAGGGGTGGCAGATATTGAGGATGAAATCAATGATGGTATGTAAGTGTGTTTATCATGCAAATCCTACCCAAGGGATGGTTGACTCAAAGTTCTTCTTTAAAGCTGACAAATAAAAGAGCTACGTATACAGGAATTTTAGTTTGATGACCAATCTTAGCTTTGCAGTTTCCATTTCTGGAACAGAAAGCCTTGCCTTTGCTACATTTCTTAGAACTAATGTAAAGGTTTAATTGAGTATTTAGAAATATGTGCACCTTTGAAACCTGTAATGAGATTTGCCCCCACATAATTTTATGTTTGTCTATGATGTCATGAATATCATTGGTATGTAATGTAATTAATAGTATCATTATAGAAACATCACATATTTGTTATACCTTCCTTTCAGGTGAACCTGCTCAAATTGACCATCTGGTATTTGTTGTCCATGGCATTGGGCCAATTGCTGATCTGAACTTTAGAAATATTATTGAATGTGGTGAGTGCAGTAAAGCAATACATATACATTTATATCAAGAGCACAACACTACATTTTCCTAAAAAATCTGTGTAAAAGCTTGGATATTTTAAGTTTTAAATTCCCTTACATGTACATTCTTAACATTTGAATTGTGTGCAATAATCATTGGTACCAAGATAGGGTTAATTTTATCCATTGCAGTATGGGCAGTGAGTCTTCATGCCAAGTGTTTTATCAGCTGCACCTCTTGCTCTAGAAGTGTCATCAGAAAATTCTTGTCTTTTGGCATTACTGATGAAGCATGGCTAGCTCTTTAAAGTACCCGCAAATTAATAATCAAACTTTTAATTTTTTTACACAATTAAACAGTTTTTTAATGTCAGTGAAAGCATCCCCAAATCTTGATTGAATTACTAAAACTGTTTTACTTCAACACCTGAAAGGTAACTTTTAGCAGGGTTTTTAATAACTTTTTGCAGCTGCGCCATAAGGCAAAACCCAAAAATGAGAGCATGCTTGCAGGGTAAACAGATGTTGGTGAGGTCTTACAGGTAGCTTTCCAGTAACTGGCCTTTATGGAAACCACTACATTTAAGATGCTGATGTTGACACTAACTAGGCCTACTTACTTTAAACCCTTCTTTCTGGCAATCTTAGTTGATGATCTGCGAAAAGTCAGCCTTCAAATGCTCTTTGATCATCATGAGGAGTTGTCCGGAGGTCGTGCCATCGGAAGGGTGGAGTTTCTTCCTGTTCAGTGGCACTCAAAACTTCACAATGACTCTACTGGTGTAGATGAGTAAGTTTGCTTACCCTACGATTGGGAATATTGAATATTTAATCAGCAAGATGCCAAAAAAAACAAAATTAGCAAAACTTAACATAACAAATTTTAAACTACAGTATTTATGAATGCATGTCACACAATCTCACCCAACAGTTTTTTTACTTATTCTATTCTGTGTAAAAATTTGTTAGAATAAATACAGTAGAGTAACAAGAGAGCTTTCCAATATTTTGCTCAATTAAGTTTTTTTTCTTACATATTTATTTGTTGATTCTAAAACTGTCTCAATTGTTTCACATCTGCAGAAGACTTCAGTCCATATCCTTAGGCAGCATACGTCGCTTAAGAGAGTTTACAAACTCAACCCTTGTTGACATTCTTTTTTACACAAGCCCAACATATTGTCAAGTAAGTTTGTTTTACAATATTTCCAGTGAAAATATCTCACAGTTGAATGAAAGATATACAGTTGTATGTGTGAATAACTGTAAAAAGCTGACATGATAGACATGACATTAATTGATACAAAGTTATGTAAATGAAACAAGGTATCTTTTATTCCATAAATTTATGTTGGGAATTTGAGTTGAAAAAATGATTAAATGTGCCATGTTCTATATTTGCCTTGGTGTGGTAAAGTTTGACAGACTGATGTGACAACTTGGCAGAATGCTAGATGGTGACCTGTGTGGGAGATTAGCAAGACTTCCTGCAAGTTCTGAACTGAGTGAAACAAGATTTCACTTAATATGGCCCTTTTTTATCACTTTCTTTTGTACAGAACATAGTCAACACAGTGGGTGATGACATCAAGCGATTATTGGAAATCTTCAAGAAAAGGAATCCAATGTTTAATGGGAAATATTCAGTCTGTGGACACAGCTTAGGTAAGGATTGAGCAAAATATCATCAGTGCAATAGATTAGGACTGATCCTCTCTGTCAAGTTGGCAGAAAAGTAGAAATTACACAAAGTAAGCTGTATATTGATTTCCTTTCAGGTTCAAGTATTCTGTTTGATATTCTTCAACATCAGGTAAGTGAGTTTGTTTGGTATCTGGTTCATTGGCTGTGTCAAAATTTGTCACTAGCCTTTAGTCAGTACTCAAGACTACTGGTCCACCCAGTCGGATCTTATCCTGATTTTCATGCAGCATGAAGCAACTAGGAATATTACAAATCCCCCCCTGGATGGGATTCTGGTCCATTGCAAGGTTTTCCCCAGCATTTCATCAAGCCTCCGTGACAATTCACCAGTACCCAGTTATACTCCTGGGAGGAGAGGCACAGCAAGTGTAAATCGTTGTGCCCATGAACACAACACATTGACCAGGCCAGGTCTCGAACCTAGACCTCTTGAACGGGAGTCCAGCGTACTGAACATCAGGTCCAGCGTCTCCCGTCTTCACTGGCTATAGCACACGAAAATTGATTTGTTTGAACTGTTTCTGAACAGCTCTTTAAGAAGTCTTTGTTATTTGCGATATGAAGTTACAACATCAGTCCATTTTTCTTACTTTAGAAAGACAAGCAAAAGCAAATCCCCTTAGCAAAGCAACCTTTGATTGAAGAAGCAAGGTAAGCATTTTGTATTTTTCCCATGTAAGTTCGTAATACCTGTGCTGAAGATAAAGATCAGCCGGTAACGATATCATTTGATGAGGTTATTCTGGCATTTTTTTCTTTTATCAAATTTGGATGAAATATTCTTTTAATTTTTTTTTTCAGCGAAATTCTCAGCACAGATGGCCTCGCAGCCAACAGTAACGACCAAGGACAAGATTCAGATGAGGATTCAGAGGATGAGGAAGCTGAGTCGTACCCAGCCCTTAGAGATGCGCTAGCACAGCTTGGTATACCTGAATACGTCGACTTGTTTGAGTCGGAAGAGATGGACATGGAGACATTTGTAAGTTGATCAACCAATGAAATACTTGTCTTGTACAGCCAATGAGATACATATATGTTTGCCTGAAATGATAGTCGATTCAACCTTACCTTGTCTTTGGAGTGCTTTTTGACTGAGTGTCATAAAACTTGAACCAAATTTATTTAAACGGCCAATGAGAAGAAAGGAAAATACCCCGAAGAGCCAATGAGAGAACTCAAGATAAAAACAACTAAACTGCCTAAAGCGCAGGAAATGCGGGCGAACAAATCGTGATTGGTGTTAGTTTTGCATCTGATTGGTTGAGAGAGTGGCGCGAGTTTTTTGGACCAATCACAGAGCAAACTTAAACAAAACCAATTACTTTTGACACTCAATCGAAAATTTCTCTAAAGTATAGGGAATATCAAATAATGGTTCATTTCTCGGTATGTTCGTATGTCTCAAAAAATTAATTCTCCGCTTCTCTTAGATGTTAACTGAGTATTTTCTCTTTTCTGCTGCACTCTTTGTATTTGTTTTAATCGCCTTTTTTACGTGTATGGTCTCTGACTGACTCTAACATTTCGACATCATGTCCGGTAAAGAACGACGTCACTTTATCCCTTAGGCCCTTTGAGTGACCAGCGTCTAATTTCTCCATACAATTGTATCCCTGAATCACACAGTAAGGTCATGAGAATAAAGAAAATGATCACCAACTAAAGAAGCTCGTAATTGTTTAAACAAATTTTTCTTGTCAGCACCTCAGGAGATGTCCAGAGAATAGTATGGAGAATTTTCATACTGGTGTTAGAGCGTAAATGGTTAACATTACTGGTTTTATTGGCTCATTTTTGGTTGATTTTCCGCAGTTACTGTGTGGAGAGGAAGACATCAAGGAAATGGGAATACCTATGGGACCTAGAAAGAAATTAATAGGCTACCTGAATAGTCAAAAATCAATTATGGTGAGTTTTTACTTTACAATGATAACGGTTCTCGGTCAGCTATATGCGGCTATCGTTGTTTGATTTTTGATTGCTATGAAAGCAAAATGTGTATCGAATCACAAGACCAGGAAAACGCAGGAAGAGTCGCATGATTAGTTTGGGTTAGAATTCTGATTGTTTGGGAAGGTAACATCTTCTCGCTGGTGATGTAATCTCATACAGATGTAAAAGATTTAACTGAATCAAAGCAAAGTCATGTCAATGCATTCGTTGTGACGAAGGGCTGACGTTCGAAACGTCAGCTTTGAAACCCTTTACGGTGGCCAATTTACGTTATCAACTCATTTGTAATACCAAATTACCTTGCTATACTCTTCCACCGACGCAGCACCACAGTTTATTTAGAAACTTACCCGGCCTTTATTCATGTCTGACTTAGACTTGTATGTGGTTGCTTCGCCAAAATGCATGAATTGGAGACTTGTGAATAGCCAACAGCGAAACAAAGAGATTTCCTGAACATCGACTGAAGGCTTTCTGTCTCAACTTCAGCAAAAGAAAATGTAAGCACTTTTTACATTATTTGAAAAGCGCCTTAACTTTCTTCAATTCTGCAGGAAAAAAGAAAACTGGAAAGAGAGGAGAATAAAAAAGTAAGAGCAGAAGCGAGAGCGAAAGCGAAATCTGAACGTAAAAAGTTAAAAGAAGTTTCCAAGGAACAGACAAGTTCCGCGGCGGAGAAGGCATCATCCTGTGCTGTGTCTAGACCAGACATAGCAACAAGCAAGTCTCTATCTGTTGCTTCTGTATCCAGTGTGGAAGTTGTTTATCAACAAGGACTCGCGGGAACAGGACAGCCTTTCGTAGAATACCCGCAACTGGATTTAGAATTTTATGCGTTGTTCGCGTTGGGTTCTCCCATAGGAATGTTTTTGACAGTGAGGTGAGAAAGGTCTTCTATCGTGGGTAACCTGCGAGGAAGCTCTCATTACTCATTATTTAGCGCTGCGATTTTCCGCCTGCGCAAAGATTTGAGACGAGTCGGGGAGAGGTTTGCCGCAGGTCTGGTTCTAATAATCATCAGTGCCAGACCCCTTGCAGACCTCTCACCGGCTCGCGTTCCTCGAGGCATCATACCTTCCCGTGGGCTTTCTTCGTGCCGAAGTGCTGATAATGAGGGCCTGCTCCAGGGCTACTTACTGTAACCACGTTTATTCAAAATGAATTTTATCTCTGTAAGCAGAGGAATAGTACATCCCAGAAAATCGTCACGTCACCCGCTGCTCTTTTCCCAGAGGGAAATACTTTAGGTTTTCATCGACACAAGGGATCGCCAACAGTGCAGATTCATAGGCCCCACAGACCTCTCGCGGAAAAATGAGGCTAACGAGTATCAGCGTTTATATACCAAGCTGTGGTTGCACTGATTTATTTTTTAAATTCACTTTCAATAAATTGTTACATTTGATTTTATAGACCGTCAGGACAGATTAATGATAACACTAATGATAAACTGATGATATCATCAGCACAGCTGCTATTTCTAAATTGACGAATCGTCTCTCCCACAGAGGTGTGGATGAAATCGGCCAGGACTTTCAGCTGCCCACATGTCCACGTCTCTTCAACATTTTTCATCCGTTTGATCCTGTGGTAAGCTCAACGGATTATAATTCATCTCTCCTGGTAGAGCAGTTTTCAATTGAGTGTCAGAAATCTAAAACCAAAGTAATCACAGCGACCAATCAGAGTAAAGGTGAAAATAGTCGAAAGCCAATGAGAACTCGGCGTGAAATCAGACAGAGTGCCTTGAAGCGCGGAAAAATGCAAGCGACTTAATCGCTGTTGGTTTTAAGTTTCCTTCTAATTGTTTGAGAGGTTGGCGCTAGTTTTTTAGACTTTTTGGAGAGCGAAGTTTAGCAAAACCAAATTCATCCCGCATTACTCAAGAGAATTGCTGCGTCAATCGCATTCCTTTAGACTCTCTAGAATGTACAGGTAATTACTGGCCCTCATTATTGGCGCTTAGGTACTAGTACTCAAGCCTTAAGCAACGCGAGCCGGCAAGAGGTCTGCACATAGTCTGACACTGACAGTAGTGCCAGACTCCTGGCTAACCTCTCCCCGACTCGTCTCAAATCTTTCGGCGGGCGGAAAAACGCTTACCTGCAGCGCTTATAATGGGTACTGTCTCGCACGCTATGCGGGCCTAACCACTTAACCAACATTTCTCCATCGCAGGCATACCGAATCGAACCTTTAGTGAATCCTTCTGTTCGAGCCGACCCTGTTTTGATGCCACACCACAAGGGAAGGAAACGAATGCATCTGGGTAATGTCACTCTTCTTTGCTTTCTTTTCGGAAAACCGTAGAAAAAATCTCTAACAACATCTAACAATCTTTATTTTGTCAATTTGGCAGGCAGATAGCTAAATGCTAATTTTGGTGGGCTAGTCTATAAAAGAGAGACACCTACATAACAGTCATTGATAATTTTAGTTATTTAAAAATAGTCAGGTAAAAATCACTATTATTATAAATGATGAATTAAGAAAAAGGGAGAACGACTCAGTGGAAGACAACTGAAGATAGAAAGCGTTATCTATTACTCAAAAAAATGAACTTTTGGATTGATCTCGTGTATTTCATGAAAGGAATTTTGTTTGGTAATTTTGATAAGCTACACGGGAGTTTCTGGAATTTCTTTTCCAATTTTTTTAGAACTCCGCGAGAATCTATCAAGACTGGGCGCTAATCTAAAGCAGAGCCTCATTGATTCTGCGCGTAAAACGTGGGAATCACTCAATGAATTTGCACGAGCTCACTCATCTCAAGGCCCTGACGAACAAGACTCTGTTGTGGAGGAAGCTACTGAAGTCACAGGTGAGCGGTTATGTAATCGACAAGTGTCAAGAGGATATGCAGTGATTTACTGTTGTTGGGGGTTTAGCTGCGCGCGTTTTCTTCACAATATAAAGCTAATTGAGAATTTGTCTCAATGATTATTTGATGTTATTAACCACTCAAAATAAGGTCTAAAGTTTGAGACAAATTTCAGCAAACACTTTAGAGCAGTATTTTCTTTGGGGCTATTTGTCAATTCCATTTTCTGATGGTCTCTTTTTCGCATTTTTTATACTTTTTATTGGTTCTTATAGCTTTCTATTGGACTTAATAAGTTACTGGCATTTCAACATCCTAAGAATTAAAATCCAAACTTATTGCAATTTTCTTTTTTATGTCTCCTTCAGAGTCTCTTCCCGATCACCCAGGACAAGTGGTCGAAGTAGGACGACTAAACGGTGGTCAGCGGATAGATTACGTACTTCAAGAGAAACCAATAGAAAGTCTGAATGAATATCTGTTCGCACTTGGCAGTCACGTTTGTTACTGGTGAGTCATCTTAGCTCCTTTAGTTTTTAGGCTTGTTGGAATGAAAATAAGCGAATTAAATGAATTATTTTGTTTCTGGCCTTTTCTTTTGATGTTCCTTCTATAAATGTTTTTTAGTTTAGCAACGGAAGTTTGTAAAAACAGCTTTTAAAAAGGCGAGTTTTTCCTTCAGATTGTTTCTCAAGGGAGGTTCAAGCCTCAAATCCTAAGCCTCAGTTCCATGCACTAGGCCTAGTCTCCCTGGCTCCCTGCCAAACATATCGAAGGTCATCTCATAAGGTCATCTCCTTAACTCTTCCGATTCTTCCCCAGTACACACCGACGGAAAAAGAGAGACAGGACATGGAAACGAATTAACAAGTAAATGATGATATTTTTTTGTTTCTCACAGGTTGTCAGAGGATACAGCTCTTTTTATGTTAAAAGAAATCTATAGAAATTAATAACAAGATGACATTTAGCTGATGGAGACTGAAAGATCTTGTTTTGTCAACCATGCTACTGAACGAGGGATGATATAGGACGTGCTTGGAGATACCAAACACATCACATGTGAAGTTGCTATGATAGCAGATTTCAACAGCTTAGTCAATGCCCATTAAACTCTTTGAAAAGTAATTTCAAATTTTGACTTTAATCGTCGATGTTTACTTCCGCCAAGATACTTACGGGCGTAAAATGCGTACCTCAACTATAAACATTCATTACTACTGAACTCAAGAATATTCAAGGAACATTTATGGCGGGTGAATTGTCTCAAAGGAAAACGTACGCAAGAACAAAGAAGGATGCCAGTCATCGGTAAAACCCCCCTGGCCGGTTTGTATGTACACTGTAGTGTTTGTCTTTGGTTTCAAGCAAAAGTGGAAGTACTTCGGGGGGGATTTTCACCTGGACAAAAATTTATGAGACATAAATTAATGTTTAATAGAATATGCTTTCAAATTATTTTTCGGAAAATGTCGGTGATCCTGGTCAATAAAAATTCAGGAAAAAAATATAGATTATTTGAATTTGTAGAATAAGCTGAATCATGCATTTTGATTGGTTCGTCCCCATTGAAGGGAAGGCGCAAAAATGACACCACTGTCAACAATCAGTGACACACTCGGCTGTACCACGTGTGCCACTTTCTTGTTCTTACCACGTTTTGACGTCATCTGTGATATGTTACTGAACACAGACCCTCGGCAACATGGGATCTATTTTATAGATAGCCCGTGTTCTCTCCCCTGGCCTCGTTTGTTTTAGTGGAGAGGCTTATGTTCCCTAGCTACTGTGTAAGGATACTTTTTGGTGATTAATTAATAAATGTGGATATTTTTTGTTCTGGACCTTCTTCTGCTTAGGTAACACGTAAGCTTCCAAGTTTTTGTGATTTCAGTTTTAAACCGCTACTTGTAAGAGAATAAAATAATTTTACAAATTTTCATGTTACTTTACTTTGATAACTTAGCTTCGATCACTTTTCAACCTGACATTATTCCAAAACTGCATCGTTAGGAGATGGTGAAGACTTTATACCGGTTCGTTTAGAGACTACCCTGTATTTCCAAAGTGAAAATTTACCTTCTGTGTTTATACTACTGTAAATATACATCAAGTTATTCAAACGGTGTAATTTACTTGTAACAGTAGCTGTTACATTTTCTTGTAAATTAGTAACGAGAATTTGGTGTTAGATCAAGATATCATCTTGTATCTGATAAGTTTGAGTATTCTCATTACCTTTTTGCTGGATAATGTATGGATATGATAGGGAGAAGTGAAATGTTAATCACTCTTGGGAGATAAAGGGTTAATTGGTTCACTAACCTTCTACACTTGTTTGTCCCTTTTTGTTTGTCTCTTTCCACGAGTTTCTTTTGACAACTAGAGAGGTCCAACAATATCCACTCTGATCAAGTCCACAATCAGCCAATAGCTTTTTATCCTACTTCATTTTGTATTCTATTGAAAGTGACAGAGAGATTCTCGAGGTCTTCCGATGATTCTCGGTCCGCCTCCCAAAATTTCGGAAAACTCATCTGAATTACAAATAATTTTTAAAATCAATATTCATGTTTGCGATCAGTCTTGCACGTGGAAAAAGCTCTCAGACTATTGGAGATTTCAGCGTCTTCTTCAGCCATTTTAGGGCCAGGAAACTCGTTGTTTCACCCTTTTTAGCTTGGATATAATCCGTTCTGTCGAGGCAGGAGCGTTTTATCGAGGTTGCTAAACCGTTGGTTCAAATTCGACGTCGAGGATGTCATTTGCTCATGGATTCTAGCAAAGTAAGTAAGCAATTGGCAAATACATTTTGAACTCGTGTACGTGTTTCTATTTGTTGCCTTGAAAATTAAATCGCAGACTTAATGTAAAAAGGGGTAGTTCATTCAACAGATTAGAGTGTTGCGAATTCTTTTGACAGCCGCTATGATAGCTTTTACTGAGACGCTTTGCGTTCGAGGAGAAATTCTTCCTAACTGTATTGATCGTTTATCGAAACCTGTAATGACTGTTTTAACAACAGATGGAAAGTTTCAGATTCAAACCTGTGCTGTGTTATTTGCGCTGTGTTCACAGACCAGAGGCTCCACTGCCGTAGTGGCTCTCTTGCTTCAATCTTTTACAGTATTATGATCACTTTGTCTAGCATTGTATTTTAGCCCGCTCACGTAACTGTTCAGACTATATTGTGGTCATTTTCTTTATTTTTCGTTATCTTAGTGCCCCCTAAAGTGATAATAATAGTAATACAGTTTATATTCTTGTGCAAAGATATGTTTTGGGCCTTTTTTATAGTCACTTAAACCCTTGCATAAAGAGCGCACCCTCGCCTAGCTGTTGTAAATAGCTACTTCCAAACTGCGGGTAAACATGACGTAATCTTGTTTCTCTGTGATGGACTATCTAGAATCCCACGGTGGGGGAGAAAGGTTACTCCTAATCCCTTCATGCCATTGTCGCAAACCGGGTGGACCTTGGGCAGCTGTTACAGTCTCTTATGCAGAGACTGATTGTTACTTGAAATCTCTTTTTTACTTGTCTTTTGGATGTTGAATGTACCAGTACCCCACTGTTTAAGACTAGCAAGTTTTATTACCTCTTTTTCAATGAGTATTGAGAAAAACATCTCATCTCCCACCTCTATGGCCTGATTCTCAGTGGCTCCTGTTATTACACAGCGTACTAGCTCTGATTTCGTTTCTAATATTCGGACATGGTTTTTATCATTGACGACAATTATTAACTTAAGATGGGCATTCGTGTTTTGTAATCTTCTGTTTGTTTTCTCTTTGGGGTAGTGTCAAGCAAAGAAGGCAGAATAAGAACATCTCGACCTGAAGAATTTCAAAGGAGGATAAAAAAAAAATCCGGATAGCTTTTGCAAGGTGGGTCAATAAAATTCCCCGCACTGAACGCTTAAACTTGAAGTGAAAGAAAAGTAGAACGAAGAAACAAATCTATTTTTTTTAATGATTAATTTCTTGGGTCTGTGTCTGGCTGAGGTTGTTTTTTAATAGTTTTCAGTACTGTTGGTTTGACGAATCAATACTACTACTTTGTTTCAGCTGATGGTAAAAAAAAGCGGATGTCAAGTCTTGCATGCTACGAGCATCAATCTGGCTTCAATTGTAAAAGCTCTTGGGCATAAACCTTTTCTGACTTGTATCAAATGAGATCTTCCCTAGTATGCTAGGCACATTAATATTTTTCTTTCATTGAATCGCCGGTATCGTGCGCACTTGAAGGATTCTCTCTCATTAAATTGTTACGTTTGTATCTCGCGCACTTTTGGATTCCCTTTCATTCGATTGTTACATTAGTACCTCAAGCACTTTTAGGATTCACTTTCATTGGATCGTTACGTTTGTATTACGCGCAATTTTTAGGAATCCCTTCCTTTCAATTTTTATATTAGTATCTAGCACACTTTTAGGACTCTCTTTCATTGGGTTGTTGCGTTTGTATCTCGCCCACTTTAGGAATCCCTTTCATTAAATTGTTACATAAGTATCTCGCGCACTTTTAGGAATTCCTTTTATTCGATTGTTACATTAGCATCTCGCGCACTTTTGGGATTCTCTTTCATTCGATTATTACATTAGCATCTTGCGCACATTTAAGATTCTCTTTCATTCGATTATTTCGTTAGTATCTTGCGCACTTTTAGGATTCTCTTTCATTGGATTGTGGCGTTTGTATCTCGCACACTTTTAGGAATCCTTTTCATTCGATTGTTACATTAGTATCTCGCGCACCTTTTGGATTCACTTTCCCTCGATTATTATGGTAGAATCTCGCGCGCTTTAAGGGTTCTCTTGTATTCGATTATTAAAATAGAATCTCTCGTATTTTAGGATTCCCTTCCGTTGGATTGTTGCGTTTGTATCTCGCGCACTTTTAGGAAACCTTTTCATTCGATTGTTAAATTAGCATCTCGCGCACTTTTAAGATTCTCTTTCACTGGATTCTTGCGTTTGTATCCCGCGCACTTTAAGGAATCCCTTTCATTTGATTGTTACATTAGCATCTCACGCACTTTAAGCATTATTTTTCATTGAATTGTTATGTTTGTATCACGCGTAATTTTAGGAACCTTTTCATTCGACGTTACATTAGTATCTCGCGCACTTTTAGGATTCTCTTTCATTAGATTGTTTTGCTTGTATCCCGCACACTTTCAGGATTCTCTTTCACTGGACTGTTGCGTTTTTATCTGACGCACATTTAGGAATCCCTTTCATTCGACTGTTCCATTAGTAAATCGCGCACCTTTACGATTCTCTTTCACTGGATTATTACATTAGTATCTCGCGCACTTTTAGGATTCTTTTTCATTGGATTGCTGCGTTTGTATCTCGCGCACTTTTAGGAATCCTTTTCATTCGATTGTTACATTAGTATCTCGCGCACGTTTTATATTCTCTTTCTTTCGATTATTACATTAGTATATCACACGCTTTTAGGATTCTCTATCATTGGATTGTTTCGTTTGTATCTCGCGCACTTTAGGATTCCCTTTCATTCGATTATTACATTAGTTTCTCGTACACTTTTAGGATACTCTTTCATTAGATTGTTATGTTCGTATCTCGCGCACTTTCAGGATTCTCTTTCATTGAATTGTTGCGTTTGCATCTCGCGTAATTTTAGGATTCTCTTTCATTGGCTCATTACATTGGTATCTCGCGCACTTTTAAGATTCTCTTTCATTGGATTATTACATTGGTATCTCGCGCACTTTTAAGATTCTCTTTCATTGGATTGTTGCGTTTGTATCTCGCGCATTTTTAGGATTTCTTTCATTGGATTGTTGTGTTTGTATCTCGCGCACTTTTAGGATTTCTTTCATTGGATTGTTGCGTTTGTATCTCGCGCACTTTCAGGATTTCTTTCGTTGGATTGTTGCGTTTGTATCTCGCGCACTTTTAGGATTTCTTTCATTGGATTGTTATGTTCGTATCTCGCGCACTTTTAGAATTCTCTTTCATTGGATTGTTGCGTTTGTATTTAGCGCACTTTTAAGATTCTCTTTCATTGGATTATTACATTGATATCTCGCGCATTTTTAGGATTTCTTTCATTGGATTGTTGCGTTTGTATCTCGCGCACTTTTAGGATTTCTTTCATTGGATTGTTATGTTTGTTTCTCGCGCACTTTTAGGATTTCTTTCTTTGGACTGTTGCGTTTGTATCTCGCGCACTTTTAGGATTTCTTTCGTTGGATTGTTGCGTTTGTATCTCGCGCACTTTTAGGATTTATTTCATTGGATTGTTATGTTCGTATCTCGCGCACTTTTAGGATTTCTTTCATTGGATTGTTATCTTCGTATCTCGCGCACTTTTAGAATTCTCTTTCATTGGATTGTTGCGTTTGTATTTAGCGCACTTTTAGGATACTCTTTCATTGGATTGTTACGTTTGTATCTCGCGCACTTTTAGGATTCCCTATCTTTTGTATTATTTGTAAGTATTTCCATTAGTATCTCGCGCAGTTTTAGGAATCCCGTTCATTCGATTATTACCTTAGTATCTATTGGGATTTCTTCTTTATGCGATCGTCATGTTAGTATGTCGAGCACTTTTAGGATTCTCTTTTATTGGATAGTTGCGTTTGTATTTCGCGCACTTTTAGGATTCTTTTTCATTAGATTTTTACATTAGTGTCTCGCGCACTTTAAGGATTCTCTTTCATTAGATTGTTACGTTTGTATCTCGAGCACTTTTAGGATTCTCTTTCATTGGATTGTTACGTTTGTATCTTGAACACTTTTAGGATTTTCTTTCATTCGATTGTTACGCGAGTATCCCGTGCACTTTTGGGATGCTCTCTCTT